AACTCTCAATCACTGGCACTAACATTCAGGTTGCCATGTTTATTAAGAGTGGCCTGAAATGATAAATCCGTTCTTTGCCTTTGTTAAGACCTGCAATACACAACACTTGAAATCTAGATATGGAAAAACATCTGCATAAGGCAGGCTTTCCCAAGGTAAGTATACCATCTCACATAACACAATCCCCATGTACATCTACCACGTCTTCTATCATTGCCACAGTTTGATCGTTAATGGATCCTTCTACATTCCCCTTCCAGAAAAAAGGGAAAGAGTCAGCTAGAAGCCCTAGAGGAAAATTAGTCTGTTGACTTGTCATGATTGCATGTACTACAGAAGGAAGAGTCTTAAAGCAGAGTTTTGAAGTTCACAAAAATATTTCAAAACCTTTCACACTCTCATCTGAACCCAGCTCCATTTCAGTTTACACATACATTTACCTAATAAGAGCTATTTTCTAGCAACTTTTTTTTAAATCATAAAAAAATCTTTCAAAAGGCAGATAACTAGAAATAGCATACTCTTTACATAATACTGAGATCAATAGTATTTAAAGTAGCTGGAAAGTACACTAACATGAGTAGTAGTTTTACAATGGCTTGTTTAAAATACCTGGAGGCTTTTACATATCCCAAAGGCATTTCTCATTTGCACAGTAAAGATAATTTTTTGTTTATATCTGAATATTAAATTGGGAATATAGTTACAGTTATCCAGCAAGAATTGCAAAGACTGCTGAAAAGTACAACATCATTGGTATATTACAGGAATCAGCAGCACAGCCATAAAAAAGTACAAGCTATACTTTTACAATTTTAGGGCAGGAGAACTTCTATTTTGGGGCCATGAAAGCATTGGAAAATAACAAACAAATAACAGCAAGGTACTAGTAATTTCTCCCTATGCCCCCCAAATTAAATCTTTTATATTTTCCTGGTTCGTTTGGAAAAAGATACTCTAACGAATTTTCTAATGTTATAAATACAAATGACCCTACTGTAAAGCTACTATTGCCCACTCAATTCCTCCTAATATTTATCTTCTTTTCTTCATCACACACCTGTGGAGTAAGTTGTAAGGTTCTAAGAGAACATTCTGTCCTGCATCTTTTTATTCTCGCAACTGTAATCTTGTGAAAAGAGCCTAGCTGTCTCTTCCATCAATTTAATGACTGAAATATACTAGACAATATTGTCTGATTCTTTATATAAATATATATGATCTAGGAGGGTACACATGACTGTGTTTTCTTAGGTTCTGTCTGCTTCTGTTACTTATCTGGCTAATATGACCTCAGGCAGTCTCAAAGATTTGGCAGGGAATGGAAGTTTCTGGGTCATGGAATTTTTGGTGGAAAGAGCACACTGAAAAATGAAGTTATGCAAACACTAGTGGTATCCATGTCACAAGAAATAAAAAAGGTTTAAATCCATCCCATTCTTTTGTTTCTATCTCAGAATCTCACAATAAGCCTGAGTAAGACAGAAAAAGTTCTGAACTTGAATATGACTGGGTCTCTGTTGTTCTTAATACAGATGAGACAGAAAAACAATCTGTAAGATTTAAATCTTTTTTATCAGATTTTAGTGTAAATTTTCAATTTCCAGCTCATCTGAAACTCTGTATAATATACAAAAATGGGTTGCAAGCAGCACAGATCCTCCCAAGTGGCATGCTTCATAAATCATCTTGCTTGTAACAGTTATTTGATCATCCCATCTTTTAAACTCTTTAAACCCATGTATTTTTCCCAGATTAACAAAGCCAGAAAATCTATTGTCCTGTAATTTTCTAGACAGCAGCAGTGGTAGATAGCAGATTCCCTTTAAAGGCAATCAATGTACTGGAATTAAGATAAACTGATACTAGCATAAAAAAACAATATTATTTACTCCTATAAGGTAGGGAATAAGACAAAAACTTATCTGAAAGGATGAGTGTGTGAAGAAGTGCAGTCATGAAACTGAAGCTACTAAGGAAATCACTATGGAGAGTAATAACTGGAAAAGTTAGAATAGAATTTATGGGGCTGTAATTTGGTTGTGCAGAAGTTTCACAGGTAAAGTTGGGCTAGAAACTATTTCGGAAGAGGCAATTAGATCATTCTCAGGCAAAAGAGATGAAGATACATCAATTAAAGAGAAAAATACACACTATTACTCCATCTGTCAAATCAAAGCAACCCAAAAGTTTAAAGTTGTGATTAATAAAACTCCTATATACTTGAATGGGTTTCATCCACACCTATTCCAGGGTTCTAAGGAGTAATGATAACATCTAAGAAGATGCTGTGGAAGCAATTTCTTCTTTTTTAATTCCATAATTCAGAGAGGCATGGAGAAGCTGTGATATACATGTATAGCCTTGAGCTCAAAAAGGTTCTAAAGCATTAGTGTAATTCTAAAGAGTGGAGGACATAAAAAAACTAGACAAGCACGTTATCAAAAGTATGTTGGCAGGCTTTCACATAGCAATCACCAGCTTCTAAACAGTGCAAAACACATACAAAAAATTTGAGCTTATTATTCTGCTTTTGTCCATCAAGGTGGTATAAAAGAGCACCATATTCACTGTAACAATAAGGATAATACACAAAATTACCAAATTCTGTTCTAAATAAAGCATAAAATAATTTAAAGCAATGGACATCTATCATGCATAAAAATATTCCTAGACATGAAAAATAATAAACAAAGAAGAGAGACTTGTGTAGGCACACAGTTCAAGAACTCCAAATAATTCATTTGTTGACCATTATTTAAATGTATGCTTTCTAACAGCTCTATGCTTCAAATCATCCTAACATCCTGATTATTTTTTATATACAACACAAATAAAGAATATTAATACGCCTGAATACCTTCTTCTGCCTTCTTAAGCTTCAGGTAAAAGAATTACAATTTTCCGCATTGTTCAGCTATCTATAAAATGTGGCTAGGACAATGAAGTTTTTTAAATTTTTCAGTATAGTTGTGCTTATATACATGCAATGCATGTTTACATATATTAAATGCTGTATTTATAGGTTTTAGGCAGTTCTCTCATTTTTTTTATGTTTTATGAAGGAAGATGAATTCTATCACCATGTCCTCACGAAAACATGACCAAATTTTATTAGGAAACAAATCATTATGGTTTTCTATTTCAACCTAAATGAAGAATGCTACAAATTTGTGCATCAGTCTTCATCTTATGTTAAAATTATTTCTCAAATCAAACCGGAAAACAATAGTAAGGATAGCATACTGTCTAAACAGCCAAGTTATTACTCTGTGCAGTACATATCCAGCAGTTACTTGATATCATCAGTGGCGATCGTATGTGAACCCCCAATAACAGTTCTCTTTAAAATAACCTGCATGTCCTTACACCATCACTGTCTTCCTCTAGATATGAATCCTTTAGAATATTACCTCTAGTTACATGATCACAACTGTATTTTTGGACAAAAATTTCATTCCAAAATTTAATTTTGGACAAAAATTTCACTTATGGAAGGTAGAACAGGGGACAAAACTATAAAAAACTATTGAGAGAGAAGGGATCTCATCAATATATATAAATATCTCAAAGGTGGGTATCAAGAGGATGGGGCCAGACTCTTTTCAGTGGTGCCTCAACATGAGGCAGAACTTCTTCATGCTGAGGGTGTCAGAGCACTGCCCAGGCAGTTTGTAGGGTCTCCTCTCTAGAGACACTCAAAACCCACCTGGACACATACCTGTATAATCTGCTCTAGGTGACTCTGCCTCGGCAGAGAGGCTGCACTAGATGATCTCCCAAGGTCCCTTCTAACCCTAACAATACCATGATTCAGTGAAATGCACTCCTAGCTAAAGAAATTAATACTGTATTTTCACAAGTGAAAGAACATGACAAAAGAAGTCCAGGAAGGAAAGATGTGAACAACAAAACGTGCCTTCTAAGATCAAAGCACTCAACGGAAACCCAAAGGAGCCAGGAACCCTCATGAATCTACAACAAGCTTCCCAAGTAAAATTGGCATGCCATTTTAAAAAGTTAAAATCCATTATTTTTTTCTTTCTTAAAAAATCCCCTTATCCCCTTTTTCATTTTAAAACAGGGAACTCTTCACACCCTAAGAAAATTGAGTGTTTCAATTCTGACAGCCAACTCATTCACATTCTCCTTATCTTTCACCCACATAATAATCTGAATTCATAAATATTAGTATTCCAAAACAAACAATTTTGTTTGCATACCGTGATAATTAACTAACATTTACAGAAATCAGATGATAGCAAGCATGATGAAGAAATCATCACCATCACTGTCCTCAGAGGAATAAGCTGCAGAAGTAAGATCCTGCTTGTCTGTATCAATGAAGATAGAAGCTTTTACAGTCAGGGACAAGTTCCTCCCCCAGAGGGTGGCTGGGCACTGGAACAGGTTCCCCAGGCAAGTGGTCACAGCACGAGCCTGAGAGAGTCCAAGAAGCATTCTGACAGTGCTCTCAGGCACATGATGTGATTCTTGGTGTGTCCTGTGCAGAGCAAGGAGTAGGAGTCAAAGATTCCAACCTCTTCCAATGCAGCATGTTCTATGATCGTATGACAGTTATTTCTTCTATTACCAAGCCTTAGCTTTTCACTTCCTCAAGAATTCAGATAAACACAATTTATATATAATTGCTACCCAACAGCTTATGACACTGGAAAATTACCAGTCATTTTCATTCTCTTGCTCTTTCAACAGGAAAAAAAAAACGGCAAGACATTTATAATTTTAACATGATATTGAACCGCAGAACAGCAGTTTCAGTGAGAACAGATTTTAAAGCATGCTTCAACTTGCACCAAAAAAAAGAAAAAACTCTGCAATGTATTCTAGGCACTCTTGATGAAATTTAACAATTAAACTTTTTCAATAAATTTTTAGAATTCTACATAGTTCTCAATTAGAAAGATAAAGAATATGGTATCAGCAGGGGAGGTTGGTTGCTTTTTGGTTTTAGTAGTATGTTAAATCTTCAAACTCACCTTTCCACAACCAAGCTGACAGCTTGAGTAAGATCTGGCTTTGACACCTCGAGATGTTTCCAAAGAAACTACACTAATTCTTTATCAGCCTTAGAAATAGGAAAAAAAAAAAAAAAAGAAAAAACATATTACATGTATGATGCCTTTTACAGACAAAAAAGGTTATACTGAGCATATTCAAAAGACAATTGCCAAGAAAGCCCTAACCTAGTGAGAATTCCCTGCAAGTTACTCACTGTTCTATGAAAAAACAGCCGATGGCTCTCTTGAATAAAGAAAGTTTTAACCATAGAGAATATTGAAGTAAAATAAACACCTACAATCAACATTAAAATAGTATGCAAGGTAACATATGGCAGCAGAAATGACATTATTCAAACAAGGCTGCCTTTTGCTATTATCTGTTACTGACACAATTTCTATTAAATACTAAGCCTAGAATACCTGCTTCAGCATTAAGATTTACCACATGCAGCTCTTTATTTTAAAAAATGCAGCAAAACAGTCTTCTAACACACAGGCATCTAACCTGCAGTATACAGAAGTTTCTGAAAGAAAACTCAAGTGAGCAAGGAAACACTGTTGTTTACAAACAGACTTCAGAAGTTTGTGAAAACTAGATGTCACCTAAAAGCTTTCCCACATCTGTATTTTCTACTACACATCAGCTGTTATTTTTCACTGGTGTCTTGTTATTTCAATATGATTTTATTATTGGAAGCACCAATATCAGTTATTTTACAAGCTAAACCCATTTGTTGATGATATAAAAATATTAGGGGAGAACAATAAAGCCCAGCAAAAGATGAAGACCAGTAAGACAATATGTGCATATAAACCATAGTCCAGACTAGGAGGAGACCTACTGAAACAGTTTAACATAAAATTAGGAACGGATAAGCTAAACCCATAGCATAATGGCAGCTAGGCCTATTCAAAAGGGAAAAATAATTAGAGTGCAGCTATGTCTACTAGTGTTTTGGAAACAGAGAATCATTTAGACTGGAAAAGACATTTATGGTCAAGGCATCCAACCAGTAACCTAACATTGCTACAAACACCACAAATCCCTACATGCCACATCTACGGCTTTTAAATACTGCCAGGGATGGCAACACACCACCTCCCTGAATAGCCTGTTTCAGTGCGTGACAAGAAGTTCTTTCTAATGTCAAATCTAAATGTTAAAAACCAAATTGACAAAAAGATCTTGTAATTCAAGACCATTATCAGCTTATGCAAAATGCACTACACCAGAAAGAGTTCATCTTTCTTAAAAGCAGAAAAATTTCAACTGTCTTTCACAGGTTGTGCACAGTCTTTAAAATGCTAACTATGTTTCTTGAATTTTCAAACAAAATCAAACAATTACTAAAAAACTTTGTGCAAAAAGAAAAAGAGGAACAAGATGTTTCTAAAATGCTTGAAAAAACCTCAATCCTTCTCTAATCAAATTAGGTTACTAATGTAAGCATTCTTTTCAAAACTGAAAGTGACCATTCTGCATACAAACAGTTAATTAACTGCATTATGGAGCACTACATTCATTTTTATAGAAAGGTAACAAAAAAGCTGAACTGCACACCAGATAATTAGTAACTCAAATGACTTTGCATCAGTATCCAAGTCTTTGTTCAGTACAAGCACTAAAAATAGGTTAACTTTCAGCTCAGAATCAAGTTAAAAGATAAACACTAAGAACCATATTAATTGGGTTACTAAGTAAAAAATAAAGCACAGCCCCTAATTTCATGCTGTCACCTTACACATTTAGTAAACTGAACTTCTATGTATCAGTGGGAAAGACTACAAAAAGAGTGCACTTGTTTCATGTCCTCAGAATAAAAGACATTATCTCCCAAAAATGCCTTGCCAGGCCACCTGAAGAGTTACAATGTGTGTAGACTGTGAACCAGGCATGACCTACTCCTTCTTCTCAGGCAGAAACAGAATCAAAAATAAAAATGTTTTTCAGATTTGGACAACTGCAACAGGCTTCCAAAAAGCATTAGGATCCACACAGAAGCTGGATTCAGAGTAATTTTAACATCTAAAAAAATTTTGCGCTTATGTTGATAAGTCAGGGGGAAAGCAAACAAACAAAACAAACACACAAAAAACAAGCCACCAAAGCCAGACTAAATCTCTCTAAACAATCGTAAATCAAATATGATTTTGTTTTAATTATTTCAAAGGACATTAAATCAGTGATCCTTCCAGCCTAAATGACACTACTTTCACAGAATCAATTAGGCTGGAAGCAACCTCTGAGATCGACTCCAGCCTATGACCAAACACTACGTCAGGTGGTCCATGGCACTAAATGCCACATCCAGTCTTTCCTTAAACACCCCCAGGGACAGTGACGTCACCATCTCCTTGGGCAGCCCATTCCAATGCCCAGTTACTCTTTCTGTGAAGAAATTCTTCCTAATGTCCAACCTACACCTCTCCTGGCACAGCTTAAGTCTGTGTCATCTTGTCCTGCCACTGGCTGCCCGTGAGAAGAAACCGACCCCCACCTGGCTACAGCCTCCTTTCAGGCAGTCATAGAGAGTGATGAGAAAAGGACCCCTCAGTCTCCTTTTCTCCGAGCTAAACAACCTCAGCCACTCCTCACAGGACTTGCATTCTAGACCCTTCACCCGCCTTGCTGCCTTTCATCATAAGGAAATCTTTGAATCATAACAGGAATAAACCAATGTATCTACTCCAATTTTAGAATAATTTTAATTCAAACTTCTCAACTCATCAGAAATATGGAGAGCACAAATTACATGATAGTAGTGTTTGAGCATTTTTATATACTTAATACAGAATCCACTGTGTATTTCATACTAAAGTACCATAAATCACTAAGAAATCAGTCTATAGGCCACAAAATCATTACAGCAGAGAAGACCCAATTGAACAAAATGCTAATACTATTCTACCTGAAAACACTCAGAAATTGGAGTGTTTTCAGGTAGAACAGCAAACAATCAAAAGTTTCTTATGCTGATTGATGACTTTATGAGCTATGTTTAGTTAATTTTGTTTACCTATTTAAAGTCTTGGATCTGCTAATGAGCATGCTTCCTTAACTTTCCCCTTTACTGTCCTGAACACAAACCACAGAGGTAGCTGTTGGGTTTTCTGTTTATTTTTGTATATATTAGAAGAGCTGAGACCTTTGGGCTTCCATATGAATCTAAGAGGCACTATCAAACACCATGAGACTCCCTACAAGCGGGGGTGTCTGCTTTTTGTCCTACCACGCAGATATGTATTTCTGGTCCCAGCTGGGAAATAGTTTGAGGCAATCCAAGAACATGGAAAAGCGCACAACTTTCAGATTAATACTTCTGAGCACAGCTTTCCGCAACTACAGAATAAAAGCAAAAAAAAAAGGAAAACCACAGCAACAAGTATTGAATTGCTCCTAATGAACAAATATGTACTATATATATGTACAATAAGAGGGAAGTCTTCACATTTCTCCCATAGTTTTTGCTCAGTATACAGCATGTACGGAGCCTCTGACAACTGAATTTCCACATAAACTTTCCGGTATCTCGCTTTGGTAATATAAATACAAAATAGGAAATTTCAACAAACATTTCTAATGAGAACACAAACACTCAGGTATAAACTATCTCTTTTAACTAAACAAGCAGTTTGATTTAACCTGTAACTATGCCACAAACAGGCTACTTCAAGTTGTCCAAAGAAGAGTAAAATCAGCCACACATTTGTAGCCACAAATTTGTACTCACGTCAGTGAAATTGCCACTCCTTACATAACTCTTCCCTCTGTGCTAAAAGAACAGCAGATGAAACAACATGTAAAAAACTCATTATAATTGTAAAATAAATCTTCTTTGCAATAAGGAATATTGAATGACCACTAAACAAACTTCAAAGAAACAGCTACACAGAACAGGCTAAAAGGTGTCCATTAAATGATAAACAAATAACAACAAATGCAACCACAAAACACAAACCAAAGCCTTCACAAATCCTATGGAAGTGAAAAGTCATTGGAATTTCCAAAACTGCAAAACAATAATATTTCAATACATGTTGTTTATTTTCAATGATGACAAACTGATAGTTAAAGTTACTACTGCAATTTATGAATGAGCACACACAGAACTATAAAGAAATGCTGCAATTATAGCAACAGATATGTGAAATTAAATGATCATATGCCTTTCACTATGCACCCAATATGTACTTTAACTTCTCTAAATGCATGTAAAACTAAGCAATGTCCTGCCTAAGTGTACTTCTGCCAAAAAAATAAGGATGTAAATGCATCTTCAAATGGTACCAGTAAAGAAAAAAACCCAATCAAAAAAACCCCACAACTTCATCCAAAGTTAAAAATATGAGAACATTATTTCACAAAAGGAAAGTTTACACAGAAATGTACAAAATTTATCATTAAGACAACAAAGTATTACAAAGAAATTAGTCAAAGAATGTTGAGTTACCATATGTGGATTTCTTCTCTTTAACATGCCAAACATTTTAATGGCTATTTCATTTAAATCTCAGTAATATGATTAATTAAGCATTTTGCATAATGGAATGAGTTAGAAACTGTTAAGGTTTAAGATGAAAAGAAGTTTAAACAGCCTTTTTAAGCTCTTGGCAGAATTAATGGACTTGGTAAAGCTTTTCCCTGCATGGCCCTGGGAACCAAACAATTTCTATGGAAAAAAGACTGCTTACTTACACTGTCTGAAGCTGGCACAGAAAAACACTGCAGCTGTCAAGGCCTGGGATGTATCAATCTTCAGTTTACCCAAAGAACATTCAGCCTACTCAAGTGCACGTTAACAACTCAAGAGGTCAGCAAGAAGAGTACCTTGGATAGCTGAGATTTTATATAAAGGCAGAATACAGACGCCATTTGAAAGCTAGCAAAAATTACTCATTACTTATAACATATCTAATGTCTGATAAAGATGCTCATCCTGCCATCAAGTTTGCATGCAAGAACAAAAATACTCTGAAAAAAGAAAAGAGCACATTGTGTATTCCCTGAAAAGTGACACTTTTGCCCTCAGCCTACAGTTAAAGTGATTGTAGCTCATCATACTGAAAGACAAAAAGAATGCAGGCTACCTTAGGCTTTAAATGTGTTCTTTGCCAAGTAAACTGGATTTTTTCTTACTGATTTTTAACAGGAGCAAGCTCAGAAACACTGACAAAAGATAAGCCACTAACAGACATTACAAGGCCTAACTAGCTACAGCACGAGTATTTGCTTTCAGGTGAAGCTGGAAATTTATAAAGCATCAGCAGAAATCAAAACTTTGACTTACAAGCAGGGAAAAACAAATATCCTTATTCAAAACATTTTATCTTCCTTTTGCAAGTGAATTCCAAGCATAACTATTTCACTGGCTATTTGGTATCACAAATACTTAAAACTGTATCAATATTGCAGTTATTTGTCTAACGGAAACTTGGAAACATAGAATCTTTTGAATATTTTTATACAGCTTTATCAAGGAGAATTAGATAGCATCTTTTTTTAAAAGTAATTATACTGAATTTACTAAAGCAAAACTTTCAAATTAGCAGTGAAACAAGTATCAAAAGCATGAGCAGTATCTTTTTTCTTTTTTTTTTAATCTCACAGAAACTATAAACTTATAACAGTTGGGGCTATACATTTACAAGTAAGTTTAGTTTTTTGTTTAGATGTATGTCATGCACTGTGTTGAGAACAAGGATAAACTGAAAAGCTTCCCCCCTTTAACATAAATTCATACATCAAGCATCTCAGTTACCTACAACTTGAAATCAGTACTCTTTTTGATGTTTCACTGTATTTATTTCTAAGCATGTTAATTACTGTTTAGGGGTTCCTATCATAACTTAAATCTTTACAGCATTACAAATTATTATTCACTTATTATTATTAATCTTCTAAAATCTGAAAGAGTATACCCTCAGAGCAGAAAAACAAAACATAAACCCCAACCTCTTTACACTCAGTCCAAACAGCCTCTTCCGAACCCCCACCTCTCCAATCATCACTACAAAAACACAAGACACAAACCCTCATTTTAGTTGTTTAATCAGTCCAT